GCATAAACCTTCCTTTTACTTCAATTTTTTTTCATATAAACTTGAGGTCATATCATCTTGCTTCCTACCTCATTCCCAGAAGAAATAACCCCCTCCTGCATTCTCTTTCATATAAAATGGGATTACATTCTTGTTTTACTTCTTACAAACAAATAAGAGAAAGTCAAATCTAAAGCAAAATTAAAGTAAATCAGAATTCACATTCAACATATTTGCACTATCATGCATTTCCATCAGTACAAATGCATGAGGTCAGTGCATTTTTGGTATTTTATTTCCAAGTCAAAACTAGTATTTTATCGTCAAAGGGTATTAAAATGTCCTTGCTTCTGTCTCTTTGGTTAATAAACCCCCTAAAAGGGGTAAAAAAGTTAACATAGAAACTCACACACCACATTTGCTAGGACACTATATCAAAGCCTTTGATTTATGGATGCGACCCCACCTTAAATTAAATGAAGTGACATCTTAGTGGGGCCACAATGATAAATCAAAAGCCTTGATTTTTTTGTTGTGATAGCAAAAATGAACTCAGAAACTCAAGGGGAGGTCTTAGAATTTGACCTCCCTTATTTTGAGATATGGGTTTGCATCGCCTCTTCAAGGAGTATGGTGAGGCTTTCCCCAATCCACCATTCTTTCTTAAAAGTAGTGCAAGCTTTAGATCAGCGATTTTGGTAGACGATTTTGCTTCAAGCTTTTTATGGAGAAAACTTACAGGGAAACAATTTTGCCGGTCAAAATTTGCAACCCTTCCTCTCTACAGACTACATTGATGGTTGAATTTGAGGTTGGGCCTATCTTGCGTCCGGGCCCACAAAACCAGCTGGAGACCTGGAGTCTCATCATTAGCCACATGATTGTATATTGGAGGAGAACTGGGACCCACCATATTCAATCTGGTCCTACACTTAAACACTTTAAGATATAGCAGCCTACACCATTCATTTTATAATAGATCTAGACTAAACCCAAACATTAATCCCAAGATTACACTAATTGTTTAAATTTAAAGCACTCGTTAAGCAAGGAAATTAAATTAAATCAAAGCAAGGTAGGTGTAGTAGAAATGAAGTTTATGACTTGTATGTATGTATGTAATAGCTTAAGACCTACGTGATTCTGGGAATCATTCACACATGATGGACATTATTAGGAAACACCGAAACTTGCATGTCTTCTAGTCCAAGAGATCTCTGTGAGTGATCATTTGATTCACAGTCAAGGCATTTAGCCCTCAAAATAGGGGGTCACATGCACTTATTAGGTTTTCTATTTAGTACTGGAATCAGGAGACAATGCCCTATTTAGCAATCTAAGCAAAGAGAATGATTTGATTATCAACTAAACTTATTCCCTAAGCTACATCATTTGGGTGAACCTTTTCTTTAATCACATATTTAATCAGAAATAAAAAGCACAAATCCAGCAATCTATTGAGCCATGTGTGAATCTATAATCAACTCTTGGCTTCTGAATTTTGCTAATCATCTGGCAAACAGTGGTTTAAAACATAAACTCTGGGCCATTACCCAATGTTGGCGGCCCCAGCTCCGTGGGGGTATTTGGGAGTTCGGTATTGTTTGGCACAAAGTGACTGTTTTTGCATTCTCATGCTTGACACCCCAAAACCGATTGATCCAAATGAATTCAGAAAGTTCTAGAAACAGTTAGCAAGTTCTTGTAAAGGGATCTCTAGATGTTTCCTTGGTTATAGCTCAGGAAAAGAAGGCTGTTCACTATCTTTTTTGCTCAATTAACACCAATGGGAGGATTTACTTTTCAGTCTGATCAATGAAGATGAGACGTATAAATGTTAGACAATAGTGGGCTAGGGGCAGTTAGCCTGGCTCTGGCCCCAAAAATCCTCTAAAATAATACTGCCTATAATTCCCTAAGGACCCCTAAGGCCTAAGATGGAGTCCCCTTACTCCTTTTGTATGTCAAATGAACATGAAAATTCCATACTCCCAAGTCTCTAATGTCCAATCAATTGGCGCTGGAATAAATTCCCCTATAAGCTAATGTTTATTTAGCTCAAGACCTGGTTTTAGGCTTCTAATCAGTTCTAAATTACCCACTTCACAAGTAGATAAAAACAAGGAAAAGTGTTAAGGGGCTGGCTAGCGGCTAAACCCTTGGTTTAGGCCTTAGGGCTTAGCAGGCCAACTGGTCTTTAGTTTTCACCAGTTTGATACTGGATTCAGATTGTATAACCTGACCCTGTAATGATGGGGTTCTTGTTGGCCATGGCCCAACATGGTCTCCTATGGGAAAACCAGCCATCTCAACCTTCGTTTTCATTTTTAATTCCTACATAGTATCTATTTGGTTTTATTGGCATTTATTGATATGACTGTAAAACCGAGAAAAATAATTAATGAGGATGTTTATAACATATAGGTGTCATTAGGCACCAAATCAACAAAAGTACCAATAAACGCTTACATGTTGGGGGAAGCTCTAAAATAAAGCTTCCTGAAACAGAAGAGGCACACAAAATTTGCAAACATCGATATATATGAATACACATAAAGAGACCTTTGCTGATGGGGCGTCTGTCTATATGACAGCATTTACTCAATAAACATCAACTGAACCAAACACATATATAATCACCTGGTCTGGCCGTTTCATTTTGTAACCTGCACTAAATTTGACCCGGCGCTATCATCTATCATCCATTCCCACCAGCCAATCAATTCAAACAAGCTTGTTTGTTTGTTCCACTTTTCATTTCATCATTTATCACCTCCAAACATTCTTTACTTTAAATCCTGAAACTAAACCAAACCCATTTCATCATTTCCTTGCTCAGAAACCTCTAATCTAATCTCACGTACCCACAGAGATTAGAAACCACCATCCTATTTATAAACCCAATAGAAAAGACAATTAGATGTTGTAATATCAGAAGTAAAATATTGTTAATGGTCAGTTTCAAGGGACTGAGCAGCCATGTGAGAACTGAAACGAGGAACTTAGAATGTCTCGGAGTAAGGAATCCCAGAGGGTCAGACTACGGAAGAAAAATAAAATAACAATAATAATGCCAACACATTAACGCTAATCATGTGTCTTATCCTAAAGAAAGAAGCCCTATAGCTCATGCAGGGTCCCGGACCTCTTGCTAGGGCCTAGGGGGGCTCATCTCCAGCTCCAAAGTTACACTTTGTGACGAATCACACGCAAGAACGCGAGAAGCCAAGACCAAGAGCTGGGTACACCATAATTCATGTCTACACAGTAGGAAACGCTACATTATTTGTCAGCCTGCAGTTCAGTTACATCATGGGTCGGATTTGGGGTGTTTCGGATCTCATCCGATTCGACCCATTATAACCCTATGGGACGGATAAAATTTTGGCCAACTTGATCCTTTTTTAGTGGGCCCATCAAAATGGTGGATTCCACACCTTGGCATATGCGCTGAATCTCTCGACACTAGAGTGATAGACAGGCCTTACTGTCTAGACGGATGTCCCTTAGATTCCTGCTTAATATTGTAGCATGCCATGCCCATGCATAGTGGGGTGGTTCATTTGCTCCTAATAATCACATGTGGCACCACATGGAATCAAAACAAATAAGGGAGAGAGAGAGAGAGTCAGTCACATGGAGATCGAAACCAGTCAAGGGGAAGGAGAGAGGGACTTCTCCTTTGATCAGGCTGTAACCTTGTCCTCACTCCATTTGGATTCACTCTTCATTTTCATTTAATTTTCAAGTGGTTCTCTTTTGTTCTTATTTTCTCTCCATAATATTTGCAGAACAGTGGAACAGTGTTGCAAAAAGCAAAGATAGAAACACTGGCATGGAATTGGGATAAACCTAACAGATTACAGACATGAATATATATCACAGTTGTCTCTCCAACACATCCATTTTTCTTTTCTTATTCTATTCTTCCAATTTCTAGAAAAAACAAGTGAAGTTGTTGTGAGGAATTTGAGGAGCAGCAAGACACGTTACACCCACTAAGGAGTAGAGAAGAACAACCATGATTTTGGGGGGGGGGGACTTCCTAACGTGGCTGGCCTCTTAGCCAAATACCTTATGTTATACATTACCGTTGTTTGAATCAGAAAGTTATTAGAGTTGGCGCGGCCTGTGGGCCCCAACTGCTTTTCCATTTCTGAGCTTCTATTGTTTTTCTTCTCTGGTCTTCTGTCTGGGGCATCTCTTCTCTCTTTCTTAGTTGTTCTGCTTCTTGGCCCTTCGACCCTTATCCTCAAAAAAACCCAGCTGTGGAATAACCGAATCAGAATAGTCTGGAGGCCAGAGCGATTTAATCACAAGGCACCACAAGTAACATTTTTATGGGTACCCGAACGAGAAGCGTCTGTCAGGCTGGGCAAATCGGGTTATACCGGCCAAGAGAATAGCATATAATAGGGCAGTGTGTTCTTCCTTCAGTGATCATGTTTTCCAGGTGTAGCAGGTTGGTAGAAATCGTGAGTTAGGGGTGGAACTTGGCTTGGGCGGTTGGGCCAACTTAAACCCAATCGAATCAACCCGCAAAATAGGGCCCGATTGAAGGTTGGGTTAGGGTGAGCCGGTGAGGGTGAGGATTGGGTGTTCATAATGCTAATCCAATATATATACAGTCAGGTTGGGTTAAACAGTTACAGTTGATGCTTTGGACAATCTGAGCCAAGAGGACAACGATAAAGTATACAACCATGGTATAATGTCTTCGTGCCATGCATGATCTGTGCACTTGTATGAAGATGATAATGTTTATTTACACGTATTTATAAATTTTGTAGGTTATGGGTAGGGAGGGTTTCACAATTCAAACCCAACCCAACTAAACAACTCGACCCAACTTGTAATGGGTAGACTCCCCTATTTTGTCGACGAGCCATCATTGATAGAGATCCCATTCTGGGCCTACTATTTATCAGAGGGTTCCTCAGTGTGAAGAACAGTGTTCAATTGCTTGTTGGCTTAGAAGAAAATTTGATATTAGCTTTTCAATATCTTGAGCTAGTGAATAATAAGTTCGAATATGGAGTACTCAGTTATAGGTAAAAGCCACTTTGTACACATTTAAGTTTTTATTATCCAGACTCAACGTCAAGGAGCTGGAGCTGTTTCAAAGAATTACACTAAGCTGATGAAAATATAATCTAGCAAAAAAACTAGAGGAAAACAAAAAAATACAAAAGAGGAACAAGAAAAGAGAAAAAAGAACAAAAGGGCAATGAAAAATTCCCGTGTCGATGACAAAATAGACTACAACATGCAATCTGTGAAAACCACCACAAACTTGACCACCTCAGAGAGCCATGGAAGCTGTAACGAGTAAGCTAGCTATACTCTGCAACGTGGAATTGCTAATGTAAAAGCTAATCCACAAAGGCTGCTCCAATTCTATATGATAAAATACATGTGGATCATAGTAAATCCAGAAGGGGCGGCTTCTCAGATGGTGATTTGGCACTAGTAGGTCGTGACATTGGAGGGCCTCTGGGATGTCCTTGATTACCCCTCCCTCTTCCCCTTCCCACAGCAGTTTGGGGAGGTGGAGCAAGTCTAGGTGTAATCTGTTCACTCTTGGCAGAAACGAATATGGAGCTAAGATCYGTAGCTTTTGTTTCAGTATTTGAACCCATCAAAGAATTGTTTGAGCTGCCAATGCCCAAAGCAGAACTCCCTTGATTAGATTTCAAGAATCCAATGGAGTTTTGGAGGTTGAGCCCCCCACTATACAGACTGTTGATATTTGACATGTTACTCCCCTGGTTCTGTCTTGGAAGCTCGTTGGAACTATGCATGTTGAGAGTGTTGAAACCACTACTGTTCTGATTACTGGCATTTACAGAGGTCCCCTGTTTTGATACTCCAATGGGCTTGCTATTGGCTCCAATGCTGTTCTGACCAACAGTGTTCAACTTATTGGCAGAAGACCCCAAACCACCTACCAAGTTACTAGGGCGTGGGGGCCAATCAGCAAAAGGATCTATATCAGCAAAATTAGTGGTGGATGCACCTGAGTTCTGTTTTTCTTTCTCACTGTCACCTAATTGAGGGGCTAGATTGGAAACTGGGCGAGGAGGCCATTCTATATCAACTGCAGGGCATGACAGAGCAGTTTGCTGGGTAGATGCTGATGTCATCAACTGCCCTGCTGTAGTAGTAACTGTTGTTGGCTGTGAAACTGGCACCRTTGGTGTGGATGATACACTAGCTGTGGAAGGCTGGAGGGGATTTGTAGGTCCCTTTGTTATGGGACCCCAATCATCATCCCATGCTGAGCCACTCTTTTTTGAAGAGAGGGTACCACTTGGTTTACTTAGTGGTTGAGGCTGAAATCCATTAACTGCAGGTGTTACCTTTACTTCTGGAGTGCCAGMATCAGTTACAGTTACACCTCGTTTTTCTTCTATTTTCCTGCAATTGGAAAAGCACACAACCAGCTCAACAACCTTGGCTACAGAGATGTATAGAAAATGTCAAGGATGAAGTAACATAATTATACCTGAGTACATCTTTCACAAAAAGCATGTATTTAGCAAATTGTTGGACATTCAATTGCTGGGCAATGATTAATGGCATAAGAAGTGGAAGAACATGCTCTGCAACAAATTCCACGCCATACTGAACAAATARWAAAATAATAAGCTGTTATTCTACAATAACCATGCATCTTTTACTTCATACTCAAGCCTGACAAAGTTATGTCAAACAAGTATTTAAAATACCAAGAACAATTTTATGCTTCACAAATAGATTTAGCAAATAAGAAAACAATACCTGCTTGAGAATTGAATTTGAAACCCCCAAGGTACACATGAGTGTTGGGGCTGAATGATCAACAGCCGTACAACGTTGAATTGTTTGTAAGATATCTAAAATAGCATGTTTATCAAGAATGTGGATCATATCACCGAGACATAGCAAAGCATTCACTCTCACCTGCCAATGGAGGCATCTCGATGGTTCAGATATTTAATTTGTCTGCCTATGTGTATCAGTATGCAGAAATATATCCACAAAGCAGTTGGCAATTAGTAAATAACAATATCGTATATGCTAACCAATAAATATTTTCATTGCAAACCAGACTAGCAGAATAAAGATCAATCCATTGCTGGCATTTTTTGCAGATTGGGGACTTTTCCATGCGAAGCTATGTATTTGTTCAACTGGACAGACGAAAAAAGATTTCTATGTATCTTCCTAGCGTTTTCCTTTTTAAAAGTGTTGATGGTTCAGGAGTTAGATCTCAATCGATTTTACAACCAACTTGCAGTCCATAGAGTTCGATTTCCACTCTTAACATTTTATAGAACAATGTTTGCAATAAATGAGGAGGGATAATTTGGGCATATTACCATTGAAAAAGACACATGGCTCCCTGTTTATTTATCTATTTACTTGTTTATTTGTTTATTTTGAAAGATAACATTTGATACATAGGGGTGCTTTTGTCTTCTTCAAGATGTATTTTGGACTGGTTATTAGGGGTGTTCCCATCATGATGGGATATGCTCAAATCACTCCCCTAATATATAGTGTTGAGGTTCAACAATATCCCTTTTAAATTGGATTAATTTACTAGACTACGTATAATATGCCATGACTTTAAGGAAACAGATGTATTAATATTTGCCAAGCATCCTGTATCTAAAAGATACCCATGTTCTTTATCAATAACCTCATCAATCATATATTTTGCACGATTAATTATATGCCCATGATTTTTTCTCCTAACTTGTGAATCATTGAATATCAGATGGAGGTCTTCCCATAATGACGATAATATCATGATAAAATTTATGGTTCAACTAGTAGTTTGCCCCAACCCACGTTTGTTAAGAAATAACTACCACTTGGGCATCCCTCTGAGGAGGAATGGGTTCAAACCCGGGCAGGCTCTCCATGTATTCAATGCCAGTGGGCTTACATGTATACCCTCTCACCATTAACCCTCTAATCCTGCTAACTGGGTCTAGCATATAATACCCTGCCCCTGTGGGGGCCAAAGCCACATGACACGTGCAAAAAAAAAAAAAAACATCAAATAGGACCTTGCTACATGTCTTGTCATAAGATTTCAGACACTCACTTGAAATATATTGTACAATGTAAAGACTATATAATCATTGCTTTGCTCTGGACTACAATAACAGAACCATAATTCAAGGTGATGCATGAAGCAAAAAAAAAAAAATCAAGGTGATGCACTTTTTGAAGTTGTCTGATGATAGTGATCCAAACAAGGTTGAAGTTGTTTAATTCAGGCATGGAACCTGAAACAGAAAATTGGAGTTTGCAGGTGAGAGAAAGGGGGAAAAAGGAAAAGATAGAATATGGATAAACCAAAAAGAAAGTGACCAATGACAAATTGAAGGGGCTAGAAGGACTAGGGGTAAAGCAAAAGGGATATGGGTAGTAGTAAGGAATGATTCAAGTGTGAAAAAATTTAACAATGGATATGGTAATAAAAAGAAGGCAATAGCGAAACAGGATTCATGTAGCCAACTCCATATATAGTTGCTCAAAAAACAAATGATTTAAGGTAAACAAATTTGCAGAACAAATTCATGTAGTGTAGCCAACTCCATACATAGTTGGGACAAGGCTTACATGATGATGAATCTGGAAAAAGTAGGAAATATCATACAATATACTTCTTATTTATTTCTTTCATTTGATGTACTCTGCATTTTACTGAGCTATACTTGCTCTTTTTTTTTCTCTCTTTGCTTTAATAAATTCGTTGTTAATGATCAATAAAAAAAATAAAAAAAAATGGACTAGAAGTGGCAGAGAATAGAAATACTAATTATAATAAAAACCTACCTAAATTAATTAATTATATATAGTTTGGATGTCCATTAACTTATATCCTTATCATACTAAACCAAATACGATTTTAAAACTAAATATACGAGTGACAGCATTCACAATTAATAAAACTAAATTGTCACCTTCTAAAACAACAACGAACATTTCCGAATAATCCTCATTCACCTATGCATCATTACTGGGTATCACACACTTGATGACTGATACAAACTCCATAGAAAAGCATCATTAAAAGAAGAAAAATAGAGAAGCAAGATAAATTCAAGGATATGGAATGTGAAGTCAAACCAACTAATCGATGACAAGTTATCCTTCACTTCTAGTTGGAAGTTAAAACTGAATGAGGAGATGAATGCAACACATGACACAGATGCATGAAACAAACACCCAAACATACCGCAGCCACTGTCGTTTTAAGTGCCAAGCCATGAACACGAGGTAAAATTGCTTGCTTCACTAGCTGCCAAAAAGAAAAAGAAGGAACAGAAAAAATAAGTTTATAAGGCTTCACATATTAAGATGTATCAACAATCAAATAAGCATCAACAACAAAGAACCTGAACTTGCCACTATTTTAAATTAGTTTCTAGAGCAGGGAAAAGAAACTTAAATCAATTCCCTTGTCATCTTACTCAAGAACATTATATCAAGCTAAAGACATGACCCAGAGAATGACCCATCTTTAGATCTAGGTGGTAGTTCAGCACTTCAACCATTCCGGTAAATATTTGAGGGGAGAGAGAGAGAGAGAGAGAGAGGAGACGACTTAACCAATTGCCTGTGATTTAATTGCTTCTGGTGGTGGTGTGGATGACAAACACAAGTATGCTTTCTTTTCTTCTTCTCTGCCCCTGCTGCCAGCAGAAACAACATCCCCTATCTTGTTTCTTTGTTTGTCAAATTCCCCCCTTCACAACTCTTTTTTCCTGTTTCAATTTTTTATTTCTTTTCATCTGATATATTTAATTACTAATAATATGGATTGGTCAGACCTGACCCTTTGAATGGTTGAACTGAACAGTTCAACCATTTCAACCACCTGGGTCAACAGCTCTTTGACTAAGTAAACATTTTTTTTCTATACAATGGATCTAATGGTGGACTAAACTGCCTCAGACTCCAGATGATGGGTTGAATTGGCTCCTGGCACAAGCTCAACAAAATAATCATTTCTCTCCTTCTCAGTTTAGATTTTAGTTCAAAACCTTACTCCTTAGGGAACTCAAACCTGGATGCCCCATAATGAAAGCCCCTATTTCTTGTCGAAGTTTCTATTCCCTCCTTGGGTTGCTCCTAAAGCTTCCAAATATGTGGCCTCCACTCCTCAGGGATCCTACCACATAGAGGACTACAGTCACAACATTTGCTTTCTCCATACTCGTTATGAATATCAAGCATAGATACATTCATCTATGATGCAAATACTCCATCGCATGTGGTACCCTCATGACATTTATAGAAATCTGAGGCAATATGGCACATAGTTGTCAAGGCGTGACCTAGGTGACTAGGCGTCCTTGGCCGGGCACCTAGCCCAAATGCCTTGCTTTATAGCAACTGGGTGCCTGTCTAAGCGACTAGGCGACAAAAATGACAAGGCGGGCGCCTTATTATAATATCATCTATGTTTCTACATCTTATTAATATGTGTGTTAATACATTATATTATACACTGTATATATTGTTGAGAATTCTATTGTTATTTGTTTGTTTAGTTTATTTATTTTCTTTAGTTAGCATGTTCGAACCACAGTCCTTTAGTTCGAACCACATATACTGTCAAGGGTGGCATTGCCCGACCCCAATCCCTACTGGGGATAAAAATGACCCTCTATCCCCATTCCACAACAGAGACGGGCTCTTCGTTGGGGACCCAAATCCCCAACATTTTTAAATTAAAATTATTTTTAAAGAGTAGATTTACTTAAAGAAAGGGAAAATTTTAAAATATAAAAAATATTTAAATATATTTTTGTTGAAGATTAATTAGTTTTATGATGTTTTTCTGAGTAGATGTTTTATGTTAGTTGTTAGATAGGAGG